AATACACTGTTTCACATCTGTGAAGAAACAAAAATTATACAGATATCCGTGAGGTTTCGAAACAAAATGCGTGAAATTTATTTTAAAGTGTGAAACTACTCTACTTTACCAACCTTGAGCTCTTCTTTTTTAAAGATGTTTTTGCACCACGCAGCAGGTGGAAAAGCAAAGATACTTTTGTCGTCGAAGATTGTAAAAATTCAAATCACCTCCGAAATTACGGAAAAATATTTTTCCCACGATCAGATTTACATTAAAGATTGAGGTCTTCTCTTTACATCAATTTACGCACGATTTTTTTGCCGCCATTTTACTGAACATCGAACGTCAGAGTTAAACGACAAAAGAATTCAAGAAATCCTAAAATACAAGCTCAATAAAATGGCGGAAAAGAAATCGTAAAGTAAGTTTTATTTTCATAGTCACGAAACATATTTTTCAATGTTTTCAGAGGCATTTCAATTTTGACAAATTATCTTTGCTTTCCTACTTGTTACATGATATGGCAAAAAAAAAAAAAAAAATTTACACGATTGCACGATTTAAGAAAAAGCCAACTAAAGTTGTCAAAGTGAAGGCTTCGAATTTCAAAGTTTGACCAACTGAAGTCACGAAATTACAACAGTTCGAAGTATTATTTTGAAAGTCACTCTACAGTGACTAAAAAAACAGAAAGAATGAAAAATTCGTTCACGTCTGCGCGAAGTGCGCCGAGAGAAACACAAGTGTCAGAGGTAACAAATACAAAAAAAAAAAATCCTCTCTAAAAGTTGGAACCGATTTTTCTAAGCAAACCCTCAAGTACAAATTTAGTAATTTAAATATAACACAAACCTTTATAAACTTAACGTAATGTAAGTTAAAAATGACCTTTATTTAATAAATTTAATGTAAGTTAATCAAATTTATCAATATAAACTTTGAATTTAATAACTTAAATATAATGATTTGAAAACAAAGTGACTTGTTAGGTTAGGTTTAGGTTTAAGTTAAGTGACTTGTTAGGTTAGGTTTAGATTAAGTGACTTGTTAGGTTAGGTTTGGATTAAGTGACTTGTTAGGCTAGGTTTAGATTAGGTTTAGGTTTAGAGTAGGTTAGGTTAGGTTTAGGTTTAGATTAGGTTTAGGTTAGGTTTAGGATTAGAAAAGTCACACTTTTAAATATAAACGGTGGGGTTCGCACGTAGACGATATTTTCATGGTGCATGCATGTCCATCTCTGCAAGATCGGTCATTTTCGCTCGTTTCTTTCCGAGTTGTGTCGTGACGCTATTGTCACGCGGGAGTAACATCGGGAAAGGACGCGAAACTGTGCCGGTCGGGATCGATTTGGTAGAAGTAACGGGAGACTGCCGAGTGTCTGCCAGGGGAGGAGTCTCTACATATAGAGGTAGAAGCGAGTCGCGAAGCGATTCAGTCTCTTCCAAGCCACGCGACATTCCGACGGTACGTTGAATCGTGTCCCAGAATCGCGAAAGTCGGCAACCAACTCGCCTCCTTTTCGGCCCCAGGTGTCACGAACTGCGTTACCAACTTACCAACCACGTGCTTCTCTCCCGTGTTCCGTCGAGTGTCACACACACACACCATACACACATACTAACAGACACGTGACTGAGGTCAGCAACTGATCGATTGATCTTCGTCCCACCTGTGAGTCATTTCGTAATACACGCGCGATTTGCGATTTTCGATTCGTCTCACTCGTTAGACCGTGGTATTTACCATGATTTAGGAAATCGGTATTCCCACCTTTGCTCAAAAATTTTAGATACCTTCGTGCTTTTCAAATTTGCAATATTTCGATCGGTTAAAATTAAGATGAAACGAAAGAGCACGATAGAACGTGCGATAGTGTGTAAATATCGGACGGATAAAGTATCGAACATTGTGTTTCCGAGTTTTGTTCTGTGTACTCGTTTATCTGATGATTGGGATGATATTTCGTGTTAATGAAATAGATGATAAGTATTAGATTCATATCATATTGATTTATAGAAATATTATATAGATTTTAAATGTTATTATACATTGTTATCGTTATTATTATTTATTATTACAATATAGATCTATTGTTAAAATTGATATATAATTACGAGGAATAATTTACAAGGATTAAGACCAAAACGAAAATCAATTAGTCTCTTCAGTTTCTTAATTGATAATTAAGGAATAACCAAAAATAAAATGAGAAAATATAATAAAATAATAAAGAGGGATGAAATACGGAACAATAGGTTGAATAATAGTTCTAACAGAGCGTTATTCTGTTAATTAATTCGGATTCGAATCTTCATTCAGATGTATTATTTCTTCAATTAAAAACAAATCACACCATAATTGCCAGTTTGAGTCAATTGTCGATTATTCTTTGATTGATTGACAAATGAAAAGAAATAAAGTGAGAAAAACAAAAACCAGATTAAATAACACCTCAATTTCTGACTTCTGCTCTGTCATCATTTAAATAGCACTCTGTCAAAAATATCAACTTGCATGATTAATATTTACCAATTCACTCGTAATTCTGTTTGAACTGTAAATCTGGAAATTTTTCAATGGTACAGAGAATTGATATAAGTTATCAGTATTGTATATAAGTTGTGTATTGAAGGCGATTGATCTACGGTTCCGTACGTTAAACTTTACACGTGTACGTATCGTACGTACACGACTTTTGATTAGAAATCGGTTCACATCGATGTTTACGACTGGTGGAAAGATTACAACACAATGACTCCCATTAATACTCGAACACTGAAACTGTCGTGATTTTGTAGAGAGAAATGACGGAAAAGCGATACTGAAAAGCAAATGATAGCAGTCCCAATATTGACGAGAGTCACCGTGTGTGCACATTGTCGCGATGAGATTCTCGATCGGTGGATGAAGTTTGGATTTATTAAAGTATCAACGTTTGATTTGTGAATCTTTTCTCGAGACGAACGAACAACGTCAATCTTCCTGTTCAATTATTCTTACCCTCTGGAATTAGCAAATACCAAATCCAAGTATATACTCGTGTCAAGCCTCTCTATCCTAAAAGTTATGGATCCTTTCTTCTATTTACTTTGTATACGACACGTTCGCAAAAGGTCTGTAACAAGTGTTCGGATAATCTTATAAATTGCATTGATCGAATTCGTCGCGATAACGGCACACGAACGATAACGATAACGATAGTGCAAGTACAGAAGCCAATTAATTAGCCGTGCCCGGTAGCATAGTTGCACTTTGACAGCGCGGACAATTCAATTCGACCGGATGGAAACCGAGCTAGCCTAATGGATCTCGCGAATCCTTGGCAACGATTGTGCCTGGATTAATCGACCTTAACTGCGCGCGTTGTTTCTCTTAATCAGTGCGTATTCTCTGGTTAATCATTCCGCGAAGAAAGGTGGAGGGAGGAAACTCACTGGTATGCAGTGGTTGAATAATAAAAAAAAAAAAAATGTGTGAAAGTTACTCGACGCTAGAACCAAAGCAAGGAAATTTCTGTCAGAGATACGTTTTTCGAAGTGAAAAAAGAAAAAAATAAAAAAAAATAAAAAAAACTTGAAATGCAATAAATTAATAATATATTAATATTACTATTATTATATAGATTATATATTATGATATTTATATATTACTGTAATCGATACATTATTGAAAATTATTATTATTAAATTATAATGCAACAAACTACACAAGCACTTTGTTCACAGATATATATCTGACGAAAAATCATTCGAGTCTCTAGAAATACAACGTTTCATATCCACGTACGTATAAAATATCTGACAAAAATTTATTTGCACAGGACTTGCTCCCATAAATTTGGGAACAACTTACGACACAAATATACTAGAAAAAAGTTGCAGAGGAGAAAATCGATTGGTACAACGGGATCCATATTTTCCGTAGGCTTGCGAATTTTTTTTTTTTTTTTTTTTTTTTAATTAAAACTCGCCGTATTTTTCTTCGTCATTTCAGTGAATTCTTTGAACGTTAGTTTCTTTTGCTTGGTCATTTTTTTTGCAATGGACAAACGAAAGTCATCCGAGAAATCATCATTAAACTGCGGATTCATATTTATGCAGATTCATAGTCTCGGGCGTATAATCAACAAGAAAACAAAAACGAAAAAAATGAAAGTCAGATAAAATAATGTTACTAGCCAGTGAAGAAAAAAATTATACGCCGAGTTATTTCCAAAAGTCTAGATATTGTTGTAAATGTTATAATTTTGCAAAAAAAAAAAAAAAAAAAAAAAAGAAAAATCGTACGACAATAAAACTGACCTCGTTTTAAATCTCCAGTCTTTGAAACGTGATCAAAAAGTTTGTCGTCATTCCTTTTTACAAAATTACAGTTTCGATAGTTAGTGTTTTTAGGGGAATCATTGGTAGTTGTGACGAAATATCACGTCAGCGAAGAAATTAATCTTCGAGATACAAGAATTAAAACAATAATAATAATAA